AGCCTTCTTAAAAGGCCACGAACACCTTGAACTACATGTTTGAGTGAAATTCTTCTGTTTCCTAGGTGAAATCCTGACCAGCGACAATAACCTAGTCATCCTACCACTTGCTACACATATAATTAACAGCTACAAATCTAGATCGAATATAGCGATTGAGTTTTTTTTGCAAATCGCAACAATGGAAAAACCAGCATTGTTTGAGCCGCTAAATTATTCGAATTATTCGAATAGTCGAATATCCGGACAGGTATGAATATTCGATTATTCGAATAGTCGAATATTCGATCATATATAATTATTCGATTATTCGAATAGTCGAACATTCGACCAACCCCATTTATTCGAATATTCGTTCATTCGAATTTTGAAATGTAGCATTATTCGAATATTCGAATTCGAATAATCTGAAAATCACAGATCGAATAATACTCGTTCGTTCGAATATTTTTCAAAAGCCGATTATTCGAAATTCATTCGTTCGACAAAATTTTTCGGTCGTTTCAACTATAGTAGCTACCAGCACTATTACTCAAAATTTGCTTACTTGAAGAATGTCTTTATTTATTTTTGCTCTTTTACTCAATCTCAAATTGGTAAACAGCAAGCGCCAGCGCTTTAACAAGCTCGACAAGTCGTATTTCCTTGGTATGGGACGACCCACACCAAGAGCTCAGCCTTACGTATGCGAGCTATGATCGATTGGCTACAAGAAAATAGAGCTCTTCATTGAAATTGGGAGAGAATGCCGAATAAATGCAACAAACATTCCGTTCGATTTCCAGATGTCGGGTAGACCTTCCTTTTTTCAGAATTACGCAAGGACTGCGCCAATGACCTTGGTAAGTTCAAATCTTGAGTCCTGTGAGGGAATGATGGTTTTTTGAGTTGAATGCTGATGATGCTTTCCTTAACGGAATTAGCCACGGGAAATGAAAATGTAAAACTTTTTTTTTCAATGAAACTGGTTTAGAGGACAATCAAATTTCCATCAGTCCATCGAGCATTTTATTTTATTCTCCTTAAGAGAGCAGCACTGGCTCAGTATGGCTGGGACCTGCTGTTAAGGTGAGCTACATCTAACAGTGCAGTATTTTCTAACAAGAAGCTATGTTAGCTATTCCGAATATGTTCCTATCAGTACAAACTCAACAGCAAAAAGACTTCCATTATTATGCTATTTACTTAGTCTCTCTTTGACATAGTTTGTTGCCAGCCATCCGCCAGTCATGTGTAAGGGTCATATTAATCATCAGCTGTGAAATAAGAAACAGCTGACTGTATGACTGCAAAGTAAGAACCAGTCAAGCTCTTCCAAACTGCATGTTGACTCACATGCAGACTCAAGTTGCTGTTTAAGAAGACAGTTGATTCTTGAAATCCTAAGCAAACTACTTCATATTTCTTTTCGCTTTTCAAGAAGCAAAGTTGGAATTTTTGCAACATCCTTCCTTATTGTCATTTCTGACTCACGAAGCTCATGAAACTTCAAATATGACAAAATCTTACATGATTCTTTTATGGGGCCATCAGCTCAGAAAAGGTAAGTAGGTTTGGTCTTCAACGAAGTAATAGTTCTTGTCAGCTTGAAATCTTTATGAAGAGCTAAGATACGGGTTTTTTGGCACTTTTTTCGTTTTTTTTCTGTTCACAAACTGATAGGAACATATTCGGGATGGCTAACATAGATTCGTGCTAGAAATTACTGCACTGCAAGAGTGTAGGTCACCTTCAGGATTCGCGTAACTTATGCGACCGTCGCATGAGTTATGCTACACTCGCATCTATTTTTCAAATGTGAGCGGTATTGTACTTCACGCGATTCAGCCGCGACGCGCTTTGGCAATTTGCCAGAGGTCTTTAGATCTAAGACTAGCAAACTGTACATGCATGATGTGTATAACTTACGGGCGGCGTGGCAGGAGTTCCCAAAGCCTCGCCGCTTTTCCTCGGAGGGATACTTGGCACTTCCAAAACTCCCTTGAAGGATTTCACACCTTCTCGAGGGCAAACGGCTCCGCTCATCACTCCTCCCTCTAGGTGCCCTCATTCTGAATTGTGTACGGCACTGTAAGACGTGCTTCATTGCATTTGATGATAATAGAATTGAAATCGAGAAACAGAAAAAGATAGGTTCTCATAAGGTTTAGAAACCGCAGATGACTGAAGCATTTCCAGCATTCAAGCTATGTTCTACTCATGTTTTTAAAAGAAATGATGCTACCTTGAAAAGCAAGTGCTCGCGCTGCATTGCTTGAGTAATTTTGTGAAGCATATAGTATTGATATAAGTCAAGAACTCATAATCTTCCAATCACAATACATGATAGAGAAGTTAGACAATTTCCGCAAATTCTAAACTTCATTTAATTGTAAGAAATAGTGAATTGGAATATCTTGCAAATTTAGTATACACAATATACATGCGACCGAAGTTTGGTATTCTAGTACATCGATTGTAGAACTTTCTACACATGAAAATTTCTTTTTGATAATTTGATCTAATTGATCCTCAAAGTTAGAATGAGAAACTCACTCGAATAGATGGCAGACGAAAGTACGAAAGTGTGTGTAAATGTCCTAACCACCGGGAAAGCGTCAGGTTGGTTGTTCAAAATGTTGCTATGCCCCTTTTAAAATAGGTCCTTTTCTTGCTGAGAAGGTAATCGGGTTCTCAACCACTTCTGGTCACTCATTCATTCAAAACTGATGGTTTACTTCAGTTAAATGACCAGTACTTCAGAATTGGACAAATTAGATCTCCTAATTTTACGAAAGACTTGGTTTCGTATTCAAAAAATCCTGTGCAATTTATGTTTGAGAATAATGGATGCTCATTTTTAATGGTACAACGGAAGTTTCATTTGAGAAATGATAAATATTCTTCGTTTTTTCTCCATTTCTCTCTCATTAACCTAATACCTGAATCTATGTTCTCGCTGCTTGCACACTTCACAATGAGAGTAGTAAATGGGTGGAGCAATGGGCGGGCCTGACCTCTGAGGCACGGAGGTGCTAGAACCCTCCTGGGTGCGAATGCTGGTGCGAACTTGGTGCGAGGAAAGGTGCTAGGAACTCCTGCACGCCCTCCTAACTTACGTGGTTTGATAAAATCTATCTTCCGCACATTCAGAAACCCGTTAAAGTGAGTTATGGACAGCTGGGATATTGCCAAATCGCGTCGCGACTGAAATCGTGTGTAGTATGCCCGGACCCTTAGGTTTATATGCACACCTAAGTGCCATTATGGATTATGTGAATGTTGCACTGATTATTCGTGAGGTTTGGTATTATAACTCTCCAAGAAACAGCGATGTAGATAGATTCAATTGATGCCCAGCTTTCTTTCTGTCATCTCCCTTGCTAGAGAGCGAAAAGAAAACTGCAGAAATTCTTTTTGCAAAAATTTTCTGTAGTTCTTTCGTGTGGTCAAATGAAGAATGCGAATTGAGTCATATTGCCATACAGAAGGCGTCCTCAATTATGAGAGGATTTATGTGGCAATATGATTGAGCAGGACCTTTGAGATATCGGTAGAATGCGAGTCATAAATAGATAATTTCAACTCGAACCTTCCACCTTCCCCCTCCAACAGCGGCAAGGTGTCATACCAGCCAAACTTAGTTTTACAGCGAGATTGTAAAATCCTATCTTTATTCGTTTCAGTGAACTTCTAGAGTAGTTCAGATAGAGGTAGAAAATGCAGTGTTCAGCCATCCTAACAGTCATTACGCGGTGAATTCGGGGACTATGGAAGGAAAGTCTAAAACAGTGGTTTTTTTCTGCATTTTCTTCTTTCACGCCTTTCTTCCGCACTTTTTTGACCAGAATGGACTACTCCACGATGTCTCTGGTTCAGCGGCTCGAAAAGTTTATGAAAGGCAGTGGGAAGTTTTCATAAAAACAAAACACTGATCGACTTCTTGTGTCATTGTTTTCGTTCTTTGCTACTTAGAAGGAGGGAACACGCTACTTTTCCGAAATTACTTGGAGTCTACTATCAAAGCACAACGGTCTTCAGAATCGCATAACCTCATTTCTTGCAAGAGAGCTTTGACTTTATGTAAATGGCACTGTATTTGGATTTAGCATTCATTGTTGTGACTCAGGTGTGTTTGTGAATTCAAACTTTATCCACTATCGCCTATATTACGAATTGTCAAAAGAGTTCTGCATCGGTCACAATTTTATCAGAAAATTTTTCATGACAGACAATTATTTGAAAAATTGTATGGTTAGACGCTTGTAGTGATCCAAAATGGCTGATTCCATGTGTGCTGACAATGACTGGATGCGTCCTCAAACTTCGTTTTCAAAGACAAATATTTGTAGTTTGTAGTCAGATCGTGTCATCAAAGTCGTCGCGCTGATCAAACGTGACAACATGGTCATTGATCCGCCGTCAAAAAAAAAACAAAGAGAAGGGCAATGAGACGGCACAACCTTTTAGTTCAAAAAAAAAACTTCGAATAACAAAGCAAGTTGAAAGTCTTGTCAATTTTATGCACGACGTGCGCAACTAACCTTAGGCCTCGGACAGAGTTCACGCGATTTGATCGTCGCGATTCAGTCGCTTCAAGACAAATGTTACGAGTTCATTGCATGCTGATCTTCTTGTATTTCGGTTGTGATAGTTAACGATTACTCATGTTGGACAACTATCACAACCGAAATGCAAAAAGATAGGCATGGAATGATATAGTCAATTGTCTTGCAGCGATTGAATCGCGACGATCAAATCGCGTGAACTCTGTCCGAAGCCTTAGACTGAGTAACTTGGAATGGTTCTAAAAGTGGTAGTACACTTTACCTGATTTTCGTGATGCAAAGGCTATTTTTATTGTTTTTTATATTTTTTATACTTGTTTTCAAAAAATTAGAAAGTAGAGCAGTTTGATGCTGTAAGCAATAGGATCGTCCGCTAATAAATTTGACCTAGGAAAAAAATCGCATACGACATGACCGCGGGTGATCGTTTCCCTCACATTTTGCCTTGGATGCCCCTAATCCTGCTAGACGCAGGATCTTCATCTGACACTTTTCTCACATGCAGCTTTGACACATGCTTCTCACCTCAAAACCAACAAACTGGAGTTCAGAAATCTATGTAAGGTAAGAAGCAATATATCTGAATTTTTGTTTTTATCTTCTTCGTTAGAATTGATGGTGCGAGCTAATGCTAACACCTAACTTATTCCATAGCACTGATTTAAACAAATGCACAACAAATTTCTTTTTTATTCGTGACTGAAGAAGTAGTCTCAACTGAGGATGAGTTTCTTATGACTTTTCTTCCGCTTGATCTCCAAAACTCAGACTATTTATAAGAAAAACAGTTTGACATGAAAATAATGTCTCGTAGTCTAAACACAAATTACTTCAAACATTTTGATTATCTAAAAATTTCAAAATAACTCTTTTTTAGCCATGGTGATACTACGGCTGTCGATTTTACTCGTCGTGGTTAACTCTTATAAAATTCTCGTTGTCAATCCCAAGATAGGATATAGTCATATGAATTTCATGGGTAAAATTGCTGATACCCTCGCTGATGCTGGACATGATGTGGTAAGCTCAGAACAAATTCTTATTTCAGCATTTCATAGCTTGGTTTTTTCACTTTCTCACTTCAGAAAATTTTTGGAACTGTGTAATATTATTGCAAATCTTGCACAGAATGATTGTAACAAGAGTTTTACCATTCTTCAAAGTAAAAAGTCTTTTATTATTTTCGAAAAAAAAGAGTGAGAAAGAAAGCAAAGAGAGGTTGAAATTAGAAGACAAAAAAAATTCAAGATTTCACTAACCAGCCAATACGGAGTTTTCCTTAAGTCTCCTTACAGGTAACCCTACAACCTACCCTCTTCCCCTACCCAAGCAATGGAACCACGAAGTCTTTTGTGATTCAAACATCCATTGGCAAAGATTTGCAAAGGGAATTCATCAAAGCACATTACCAAAAGCAACATAGCATGTGGACAGCTAGCTGCACAAATCCTGTCGGTGTTATCGGAGTAAGTCTTTTCGCAAAGAGAAAACCAGTGTGGTTACTGTAGCGGTATTGCAGTTTGCTCCCACATTTGCTCGGATCATCGCTGCGTCAGTGTCAAGTAAGTTTCAAAAATTATGACACGGGAAATTCCTTCATTTCATTAACACCATTGATAACAATATCACTCCGTCTATGGGGTGGAAGAAAGCAAAAATTTTGCTTTTGTTTCATATTTTATTTTAGTAATCAATAAGAACATTTTCTTGGCATATAGCTTTCATTTTGATTGTAGGTGTTTTGGATGACGACGAGACAATAGAAAATTTGAAGTCTGAAAAATTTGATGTTGGCATTACCGAACTGTTTGATTTTACCGGCATCGGTGAGTTATTTATTTCGAACTATTGTTTATCATTTATTAAGATTATCATCCACTTCTTCAGCTGTATTTGAGGCCATAGGCCTTAAGAATATGATTGGAACTCATGCTTCGAACTCATTAGCTGAAAGCACTGCATACGCCATTGGTGCTCCGGTAATTCCCAGTTTCATGCCAGGTGATTTGACAACAACCAATGACAGCGTGCAACCAATCATGGTTGTTTCAGCCTCGCAAGGAATAACGGGCGATTCAACATCGCTCTCTACCCGAGCCGTGAATTTTTTATTCACTGTGCTGTCGTGGTATTTCCAGAAATCTGCAGCCAGTGCGGCTGAGTCTATGATGATGAAGAAATTGGGGAAAACCGCCACTCCCATTTGGGTAAGTAAAAAATGAAGAATTACTATAAACTAGTTTTTTTTTTCATTTCAGGAATGTATTGCAAATATGCCGTTTATACTAACTAACGCTGACCCTTATCTGGATTTTCCAAAACCTACTCTTCATAAAGTCATTGACTTAGGTGGTATAGGTATACAGGAGCCGAAGGCGCTGAGCAAGGTAACTATCGGCGTTTTTCCTTTGCTATGAATAGGTTTAAGTCATCAGAGATCTGTTTAGGAGTGGGATCGAATTCTTGGCTTGCGATCGCAGACGGTACTGATCTCATCTGGAAGCGTCGCAAGGAGTAATTTCATGCCAATTCAAATAATGAATGCCATTGTTGAAGTTGCTAAATCGTAAGCCTTAGATTGTGTATCCTTCAGTACAATAACGGCAAAAATTGAACTGTTACAGTATTCCTAAGGTTACATTTATCTGGAAATATGAAGATCCAGACAACGCACCATTTGCCGCTGGTATAAGGAACCTAGTTCTCTCGGCATGGACTCCTCAAAGTGATCTGTTGGGTGGGTCGTTTTGTAGAAAAAAAATTGCTCAAAGGTTGAGTAAACGAAAAAAAAAGACGCAGACTGTATTCTTTGAAGGCTTCTCATTCAGCTGATAATCGCTTGACCTTATTTGTGACCCATGGTGGAGCCGGTAGCTTGATGGAAAGCGCTTTTCGAGGCAAACCCCTCGTTGTTGTACCTTTGTTTGCCGACCAGACTAGAAATGCTAAGCTGGTAGTAAAGTTCGGTTTCGGTAAGTTGAGCTATCTATTTCTCAAAAAGGAGTAAAAAATTGGTTTTTTAGGAATGATGTTGGATAAGAAAAGCCTTTCCGACAGCAAGGTTATCAGCGCTACTATCAGCCGTGTACTTAATGATTCGAGGTAAGGATCATTCTACCTGTTTGCACCGCTAGCCATTGCGGCTTATCTCTGATTGGCCCGTACGACGTCTATAATTGGCCAGCTTTGATTAAGGTGGCAAGGTAGGAGCACTGAGGACGCATTCTGCGCGTAACGTGCTCGTTTACATTTTGTACGCTTCATGTAGTGGGCACAAATTACAAGAACCGCTGTGCAGACAGTGTAACTGGCCCATTTTGTGCATCGTACAGCGAGAGCGATGTAAAAGGGCCTACACCCTGTCAAAACACTCATTTCATCACCATACGAAGACAAATTTAGGTACCAAAAAGCTGCTCAACGTGTTCGGAACATCCTGGCTAAGCAAACGCTGTCACCTCAGCAAAAGTTGGTAAAGGCTGTCGAGTTGGCAGCAGAATTTGGTCAAATGCCTGAGCTAAGGGTTGCCGGTCGTGATCTTGGTGTCATTGCCTACTACAATCTAGACATTTATGTGTTGCTGATCATTTCAATCGCACTTATTCTTGCTTGTATGATAGCTATTCTCCGGCTATTGGTCAGATTACCGAGTGTGAATCGAATCGTCAAAATCAAGAAACAATGATTTCTAGGACAAATAATGTAATTAGGTGAACTGCAGTTCTCCTAGAGATTTGCAATTATGTCTATTGTTATAGTGAATTGTATACAAGTAGATATGTGAATAAGAAAAATAAATTATCTATTGGTTGTGAAGAACAAAAAGACCTATTTCTGAAATGATGTTTTTGCTATGTTCCGCAGAGCTCTCAATTCACAAGGGATGACTGGTGATCGTGGGCTCTTGCAATTTGTTGATATCAGAATGCTCGTCCTGGACTGATCTCGAAACTATGTGTATTTTCTGCGGAAAGCAAAGTCATTCGCACCAACAGAGATCGTACCAGCATCCATTGTACTAATCAACATCGCTAACCGCTCGACCATTCTACACCTTGGTCACATATCTACATTACTTCTACTCTATGGTAAACATCATCTCTCTATATAATAAAGCGCACGGTGTCTCTCTGTAATATCGGAACAGGTCAGCTATCAATTACTTTCTCATTTAGCATTTTCTGAGAAGAAACAATTCAATTCGAAATTTTTGGACTCCATTGAGTTGACATCCCAATACTGTGTGAACCTTTTAGATAGTTGTCAACAATTGTACGAAACACTATTTTTCCAAACGAATACAGCGTGGTCATGCAAATTGTCTTAAGACTCGATGAAAACTGGATGCAAAAACCTTATTCAGCTAGGAAGAGTAAACTCTAAAAAACACTTTCAACTTCCCGAGTTTTCCTTCAAACATCAAAAATTCGAAGAGTAATGTAAAAGAATATCAATGCGATCGCGTTTGATTTATTAGGACTAAATGCTGTATGCATCTGCCTTTGGTATCTCAGCTACGAATAAGAGACAAGGTGGAATGCAACTTAGCTTTACGTAAACTAAAGCTTTACCAACGTACAGCGCAGCTTTGCCAGAATATTGCACAACCTCAAAATTGTATAAGAAACGAGATCTGCCTAGGTGAGCAGCTAGAAGCATGGACACCTTTAAGTAGGTCCTTCAAGAATTTGAGCTTGCTCAATAAGATGACCTGAAAAATGATTGATTTTGGAGCCTACGTATGAATTGCAAGGATGCTGGATCTTTTGGGAACCTCATAAAACACGAACGAGAGTTTCTTGAAATAGAAGAGAAATTATGACGCTCTCAAAAAGAATCCTTCTGAAAAGAAAAAGGGAGTGTTCGAATTTGAAAAGCTCTAGATTTGGTAGTTCCAATGTTGGCTATATATTTTCAAAAAAACAATTCGAATTTTCAGTTTAATTTCGGGAAGAGATGAAAGTGCTCTCATTGAAGCTTCTGGGCGGGGGGGGGGGGGGAGGGGGGTTCTAAGGCAGTTTGGAGGGTCAAAAATGTGGGAGACGGCCTCGGGTGGGAAGAGTGCACATGGCTGGGATTACTTTATCGGGTTTGGAACGGGCGCTTCAATCACAAAATTTTTTTTGCGTTACGTTTTTTGACGTGTAAAAGTTTGAGAGCATCCGAGAAACTTCGCAGCATGGAGAACTGGCTAAGCCTGTCTAAGTCGTGATCAGAATGAACATTTGAATAAGCAGATTTGGGAGCAACTTTCGAAGCGTGAGTCAGAACGGCCTCCTACGACTAATGCCCTCAGAACTGAAGAGTGTGAGAATGCGAGAAGAGAGCGGTACTTCAGCAAAGTTGATTAAGAAGTTACTGGGTTAATGAGTTGAGGGGAGGGAAACCTTGAAAGACTGGGATAGCAAAACGCAAGATTATATAAGATTCGAGCATATGTGAATTAAGTATCTGTAAATTCGTGTCTCAAGGAAGTGGGTGCGGTTAGAAAAAGCTGGGAGGGGAGCATTCATAATTCTATTGCCAATTTTCATGAGAAAATTTCCGAAACTTCCGAAAGCAGGAAAGATCTGTTACTTTGATAACTTCTGGGCTCATTACGTGTTCAAATCCATGCCATACTTTTGGAGAGGAAAAGGTTCGCTACAAATCCTCAAAGGTTCTAACTTTCAGTCACATTCCCACTTCACACACACAGCCAGTCCAAAGCGCCGCGAAGCGGCGCTTTGGACTGGTCTCTATATAATAAAGCGCAGGATGACTCATGCGTAAGAATGTATGTTCACTATACCCCCCCCCCCCCTCTCCTGCGCCAACTAAGGGTAAACAGTCTGGAAAGTTGCCCTTTTGATAGAAGATGAGGTTTCCAATAAGTTGCACATGACCTCGCGTGATGATTCCATCGATGTTTGAGAAGTATACGCACCAAACCATTGACGACTGGCTTAGCTTACCCTAAGTTGAGTTTGTCGTCATCCGTGAGGCGCCGCATTTTGAGTTTTCACAAAACATCCATATGCGCAAAGCACTGTGTTTTTCAGAACTTAGTGCGAGAAACTGGGAAAAACTTACTGCTTAACCGCAACCACAGATGGGTATTATACGAGCTCTGCATTTGCGAGAATATTTTGCAGTTTTTCAGTGGATTTTGCACAAACTTGGAGAATTTATGAAAATCGTTCAGATTTCATGAGAACTCTGAGTGATGAATAGAGCAGCTCTACTTTCGGACCAGTTCTAGCAAATCACGGCCCACACTTCGAACAATCACATACAGTTTGTCCCAATGGGGATCAGGCCCAACTGTTGGCTAAATTTACGGCTGGCAGTGCTCGGGGGTAGCGCTGCGCTGCATATGCGCTCTTTTGAAGGAGCGCAGATGAGGAGAGAGACAAGCTAGAATAGACGTGACGCAATACTCTCATGACACGGACTCCCTCCCGATCTCGGACCAATTAAAACTGAGACAGACTCTATGATATGACGAACTCGAGTTTAGTCGAAAACGAAATTTTGACCAAGTCATATGCAAAAAAGACAGCAAGTTTCAAAAAATTCTTCAAAAGCGGACTTGGTCCGCTGACTAATTATTCAATGCTGAGACCACAACTCCGTCTTCTATCATGCTTCAAAAACGCCAGGAATTCGTGAGTTGATCGGATTTCGCATAACTTCTCTCAAAAAACAGACACGTTCTCTTTTACGTAGGGCAACTAAGTTTTTGCGAGTACAAACTTTTCGGGACATCTCTACAGTAATAATCCTACTCATTTGAAAGCCCAGGAATGTGAGCACTAAGCTCTTCCCGAATGAGAATTATCAATGTTGCTTCGGATTGATTACAAACCCTAATTCATTTGAACCATAGACATTTTGTTATAAAGCGTTTTCATCTAATCTATAGCAGATACAATTCCTTTTGATATAGATTACGATGAAAATGAAACATCCAATAAAGACAGTACCGCTTCGAAGCATTGCCCACACCCACTTCGCGGCACTTTGGTCTGGTAAGTGGGTGTGGGCAATGCTTCGAAGCGGTACTGTCTTTATTGGATGTTTCATTTTCATCGTAATCTGTATCAAAAGGAATTGTATCTGCTATAGATTAGATGAGAACAATGTATAACAAAATGCCTATGGTTCAAATGAATTAGGGTTTGTAATCAATCCGAAGCAACATTGATAATTCTCATTCGGGAAGAGCTTAGTGCTCAAATTCCTGGGCTTTCAAATGAGTAGGATTATTATGTAGAGATGTCCCAAAAAGTTTGTACTCGCAAAAACTCAGTTGCCCTACGTAAAAGAGAACGTGTCTGTTTTTTGAGAGAAGTTATGCGAAATCCGATCAACTCACGAATTCCTGGCGTTTTTGAAGCATGATAGAAGACGGAGTTGTGGTCTCAGCATTGAATAATTAGTCAGCGGACCAAGTCCGCTTTTGAAGAATTTTTTGAAACTTGCAGTCTTTTTTGCATATGACTTGGTCAAAATTTCGTTTTCGACTAAACTCTAGTTCGTCATATCATAGAGTCTGTCTCAGTTTTAATTGGTCCGAGATCGGGAGGGAGTCCGTGTCATGAGAGTATTGCGTCACGTCTACTCTAGCTTGTCTCTCTCCTCATCTGCGCTCCCTCAAAAGAGCGCATATGCAGCGCAGCGCTACCCCCGAGCACTGCCAGCCGTAAATTTAGCAGAATTGTTTACGTGTTTTGTGTGTGTATGTATGTCTGTGTGTCTGTCTGTAACGAAATTCGTAGAGCGAGTTCCAGCCGACGTCCTGAGCCCAAATTTTGCACATCGCATGCGACCAACATAGAAGCCTACCGTGCAAAAGCACGAGTGGTTTTGTTATTGGATCCCTCAGAAACTGCGCGTCAAACGAAACCATTGGGTTCTGGCCAGCAAAATTGGTTGTATCACCACTTTATGCAATGTCGGGGATGTGTTTGGCATGCTGATGTGCAAGCCATAGATTTTAGTCAAAAAAGTGGACAGAAGTTCACTACTTTAGGAGAACGACGCCAAAAAGAAATGTTTGCATAAATGATTAATTTGCCATGTTTTACCTGAGCATCCGAGAAAGATTTGCACAGGGATGTAGTCACGTTGCCTACTGTCTTTGTGGTAGCTACCAAGCCAGAAAGAGTCCAAAAACCTATTCAAATTTGTATTTGTTCTTCTGCGAAAAGTTTTATCCACGTGAAATCACCGATCTCACATGAAAAAGCATTTTAAATGGGTAGTTGTTTACATTTTACTCGCGATAATCGGCACTGCGCGGTGAGTTTCATTGCCACCATTAGTCAAGAATGAGTAAGGCATATGAAGTTAGACCAGTGCGAGCCTCTTTGAAGCAGAGGTGACGCACTGGTGTCACATAAGAGGAGAAATGGTTTCTAGATATGGTTGAGATCTTTTCCGAAGAATCGTTTCGCAAACAAAGAACAGAGTTTTGAGATCAGCGTTCAAGGCGAATGTCATGTCATATGTCCGGGGAAAGCCCTTATACAAGTTTTGATGTCATTGTGCTTGATTTTCCGCAAAATCTTGTACCTGACTTTTGTATTTGCTTCTTATACCGTAAAGTACAAGACCTCCAAAAACTGACTACTAACTTTTTCCCTATAGGAGATATGCCTTCTAGAGCGGAGCGAGCGTTAGTGCCGAAGATGCAAGAAGAGAGGATGGGTGACCAGCAGTTTGCAAGGACTCTCGAAATTTCACTAATCAGCGTCTTTTCTACCTTGCATCGTTTCCAGGATATGAACAGCACCCAGGACTGCTGTAGGAGTAATAAATTGGCTTCTTA